AGGTCTAGCTCTCGTTCTTTTAATTTTTTTGCCCAATGCTATGCACTTGCCAATAGCATTGTGCAATGTATTCTTAAAACAATCCCACTTCTCCTCAGTGTTCATTGTTAGAAATAATTTGTCCCATTTAATGGATTTCACTAGATGATGCCGTTTATCGAAGTTTTCCTTTTTGAAATTTAGCATTCTTGCCAATGCAACACACTTCTTATTTCCATACCCAACATTAGAACTAATCACCCTGTGATCACTATTACCCTATGTATCCCTAATCGCTATTTCCGCAACTAGGTCTGCGTTATTTGAAATGACTAGATATAGATTTGCATTCTTCCTGGTTGGGACATCTACCTTCTGATACATTAAATTGTCCCGCAGCAGGTTTAGAAAATGTCCAGCCTTTATAGAATGAATGGTTCCATTTAGCCAATCAATGTCCGGATAATTGAAGTCACCCATTATAACAATGTTTCCCTGCTTCCAAGCTATTTCTATTTGGGAATGTAGGTGAACCTCCTCTTCTTCCCTTATGTCCGGGGGTTTGTAACACACACCCACAATTAGTTTACAACTAACTTCAGTCTTATCCAGTTCTAGCTACAAAGATTTTGTCTTGAGATCGTCTCATATGTAGAAAAGAAAGAAAAAAAGAGGAATGAAGGAATATAAAGGAAATATAAGCAAATATAAGGAAAACAGGTACAAAAGAAAGAAAACAAAAGAAGGAAAGAAAGTGCAAAGAAATCAAGACAGGGATAAAGTAAAGAAAAAAAGGAAGGAATGAAGGAACAAAGTAAGGAAAACAGGTGCGAAAGAAAGGGGGAAAAAAAGGAAGGAAGGTACAAAGTATGGAAGAGAGGGATAAAGGGAAAAAAAAGAAGGAAGGAAGGTACAAAGTATGGAAGGGAGGGATGAAGGGAAAAAAAAGGAAGGAAGGCACAAAGTATGGAAGAGACCAATGAAGGGGAAAAAAAGAAGGATGAAGGGGGAAAAAAGGAGGAAGGAAGGTACAAAGTAAGGAACAGAGGGATGGAGGAAAGAAAAACAAATGAAAAAAGGAAAAAAGGTACAAAATAGAGACAAGTACGAAGGGAAACAAAAAGGAAGGGAGGGAGAGATCTGATGGCTGGCTTGACCATTCTGTGACTTGAACCCTACAAACAAAGGTCCAGGATCTCTATGATGAAGCCCTTATGAAAGGTAGCATGTCTGGTTGGGGTAAAGATGTTGGATTGGGCATGCACAGCGGTGTGCAACTTGCACGATTGTTTGCTTGAGACTACAAGGTAGAGATGGATACCAAACTGGACCTGACACCTGCAGTTTAGGAATGATTGTTCAGTGTTTGGGAGAGGCTGCTGAGATCAGATATAATGACCTGGTATGCACACCAGAAGGCATCTAAGTCCCCATGGGTACATAGTCTTTTTTAATGCATGTGAACGAAATCAGCTTTATGTAAATGGTATTATTAGGGTGTATCCATGTAATAAAAAAAAAATCATATGTGGCATGTTGGAAACTGTATCCCATTACAGGCTGTGATTCCTGGTTTCTCTGTGTTGATCCTCCTCTCTTACAGCAAGTTTAACAGGCTGGATCTGTCTGACTAACAACATAGAAGCTATTGACTTCCTCCAGTTAAAGGAAACGTCTGTCAGCTTCAGTGAAGAAAATCACAGCATGTATTACAAGTTCTCCACTAGAAACAAAAAAACATTAAAGTGCTTATTTAGGCAATGCCCAGTGCTGTCAATATCACATGATTTTGGATAATGGGGGCTGCAGGGGAAGGCACCATGATAGTCTCCAGTAGGGGTAGTCAAACTTTGGCCCTCCAGCTGTTGTAGAACTACAAGTCCCATAAGGCATTGCAAGACTATGACCACCATAGGCATGCCTTCCAGAGGCAGATGTATAATGGGATTTGCAATTTCACCACAGCTGGAGGGTCGACGTTTGACTACCCCTGATCTACAGGGACAGGAAGATTTGGAGAAACCATCAACAGTGTAATGATGGCTGCTATTCAACCAATGAACAAACAGATGATACAAGAAGCTATCTAGCCGCAAAAGTGAATAGTGGTTGGATCATACACATTGGGGAAGGGGGAGTGCGGGTTACTGTGCACATTGCGCCTTGTAAATCTGAAGGTTCTCTTCTTATTGCAGATAAAAAGTGCTCAGTCAGATTCAATGAAAACTTATATACTAATTAGTAGGGATGCACAGATACCGGTTTTTCGGTATCAAGTACGAGTACCGATATTTACCTTTTGATACTCTCCGATACCAAGTACCGAAGGAAGAGCAGATATGCAGCCGGTGCTGTAAACAGTGCCGCAAGGTCCTCAGAAGTCTGCCTTGAGGTCCCCAGCAACCACGGGACCTTATGGCAGCCTCATGTGTTTAAAAATGTTAAGTGCCGGTATCGGCACATAGTATCGGAGCATTGTGAAAATGCCCGGTATCAAACCCCTTTACTGATATTGATATCGGGGCATCCAATGTGTAAGTGTAACACTTTCATGTATTTATTACCTTACACATCGCTTCCCCTGACAATGCTTTTAACTGCTATTCTCTCCAAAAGGACAACAACATCTTACTGTCTACTGTTCAGACTGAAATTCTGATTCAGAGATAACATAATCATGTAAATCTTTGGACAGAGAAGACGGTGGGTGGTCTGTCAGCAGTACATTGAATAGCTTTGCCATGTGACCTGTAAAAATTAAACTGTCACAGTAATGTACACATGAATACTTTATTTAATATAGGATGAGTAAAGTAAAATCACCACTGACCATTTGAAGGTCTTACAGCTGTAGGATAAAACCTATTCCTCAGCCTGGATGTGTTCTGATAGAAAAGTAGCCATGCATGATGAGAATTGTTCTTGTATTTCCAAAAGGAACGTGTAATGTAAATATCCTGGATTTCTTGGAATATTATGCCAGTAGTCGCATTTGTATTGTTTTTACCACCCAGTGCAATGTTCTGTAATTCTGAAATGAGCAATTTTCATAGCAGGATTTAATACATCCACCAAAGATGGATTCTACAACAGACTGTAGAAGATGGTTAGGGATACATGTGACATTCCTGACTTCCCAACAAAATCACATCTACTTCTTCGTGAAAAAGTGGGGTGATATTGGGCTATCTACACATAAGCTTCTACTTAGGTTGTCCACTTAAATCTGAACTACCAACCTTTCTTTCAGTCTTGCACAGTTGTACCAGCTCCTCTGCTGATGAGATACTTACCCGCAAACTGGTCCCTGCTGTTAGACGTGCATGCACATGTGCACGCAATCTTATGCTAAAACGTGCTTTGGTTCATAGATGTGTGCGCGCAATGGTGTACATGCTCATGCATGCTTTATCTATTTAATGAACAGAAGTCACGATCAAGTTGCTGAGTGGTCCTTAGGTTGTCCCTGTGTGCCCTGCGTTCCTGATCTCCTGTGTTTGAACCCAGCTTGTGATCATTGACTCCTCCTCCTTCTTCCGATTTGGTACCTCGACTCTCTGCTCTACCATGTATGATCCTGGCTTACGATTCCTGACCTTCCTCCTGATCTGTGATTCTGCTTCTCGTGTATGACCCCGGCTTCAAACCTGACTGTACTCCTGGCTTGCTACTAGGTGCCTCGTCCTACCAGTTCCCTGAGCCACCTCATCTAGCCAGTGCTTCTCTGGCTCCACATCTGTTTTATGATCCAGTTCTGAGAGATCCCAGTGTCATCCTTGTTCTGCAGACTAATCAGCCGGTGCAACGCACTCCACGAAACCCGGCCAGCCACCAGTTCCAGAGCCTGTGCCTCTCCCCATTCTTACATCCCCTGTCACCACCTCCCGAGGTGTAGGATGAGCGGTGCATGGGTATCCCCCTTCTCAGTTGGGTCTCCATCCTGGTAAGCGATACCTAGACAGAAATTACTTACTCTGTTTTCTATGCACACTGTGAGATTCTCACAATAAGCATTAGAAGCTGCAGCAAGTGAAATAGAGCCTAATTTCCTAGCTGGAGGATGTCCAGGATCATCTAGTATTTCCTTAGCCTACCTATCATTGGACCGCCCCTTTCATTCATTGGATTTCAGGTCTTTCAATCATGGAGGTTCGGCATCACATTTGGGCATCACCTAGGACACCCTGCATACAATATAGTCTGCTTAGGAATACCCACTTCTCCAGGCTAACACCCACCAGTCAATACATTTTGATATTTGTATAACCCCTGGCATCAGGGCTGAGGGCTCTTGAGAGATTACTGAGGCAGAGTGCTGTGATGTTTTCAAGGATCTATGTACAGCACCCTGCTGATCCCTCCCACCAGTCACAATCTGCTTACTTTGCACAAAGAAGCACAGAGGTCCAGTAATGACAGCACTGAGTCTAAAATAAGGTATGTAATTCAAAAAAGAAAGGGTTTATTTAGCATTTTAATGAGAGGAAGAGGAATCAGGTAGGGCAAGATATTAGGGACATTGCCCTCTGCTTGTCTTCTATTTGTCCTCTACTTCCTGTCCCTTATACACAAAAAGTAGTAGTGCGTGGAAGTCTCCTCAAAGGGTAAGAAATCCCTTGTTAGACAGTTATCACTAGAAAAAAGGGTACCAATTGGAAGATTTCTCCTCTACCACTGTTCTAGTGACAACTCACAATGATCTGAGGTTCTAACCCTTCACACTAATGCCCATGTCCAATACTATAAAAAAAAAAATTGTAAATACAATTTAACCCTTTCCATAACATCCTCTTGCGAAAATCATATATATCTCAATTGAGTGTTATGCTGACTGTCTGGAGTTCTGCTTTAAAGGTAGTGAGCATTCTCAGAAATATTTGCATGGATGTTTTGCAATCAATACGCCCTTCTCCGGGAGCTGACGGAGTTCAATCGTGCCTTGCACTGCGTAATGCTTCATTGTTTTAATGTCTGTTTCATGTTACAGCCAGCTAGCCACATTGTGCCACGTGAAGGTAGAATACACAAACAGGGAAGTAGAGATTTCTTCGTTGATCTCTGGATTAAAGCCAAGACAATAACCTATATATATAAGACGGAGCTAGTTATTTGTAAGACTTTGCCATCATGGAGAACTGGCTCGGTTTATGCCTTGTGCTGCTCAGCGTTACCTGTTCCTGCGAAGCTGTTGGAAACTGCTGTGAGTATAATAACGATCAGAAGATGACCTGGTTTCATCTCCATCCTGATAATAATAAAAAAAAATCAAATGGATCTCTTTCTCTTTTCCCAGCTGTTCCAGACACCATGAAGTCTTCTGTCACCAACCTGGCCATCAACATGGGTCGTAACGTGGGGCCATGTGTCCCCCCCGATCCTTGTGTTCTTCTGGCACTGAACCTGGGACAGGTCAAGGACCATACAGCAGAAGACATCCTGATTGAACTGTTGAAGAAAGATGCTGTGGACAAAGTGTCAAACAGTAAGCTACAATCTATGTTCTTTCCTTTAAACCGGTCCGTTTTTTGTGTTCACAGAACCTCTTTTGGCCAAAATTGTTCAGATCTGTTTTAGGAAAGCATGACCCTTTATAGACTCCCTAATCCCTCAGTCCCTCTTTTCTTCAAAACTGTCAATTTTTGTAATAACATTACCTATTTTGGGCAAATTATTCTGGTCTGATTTAGTACAGAACAACCCTTTTAGATTCCTGAATTCCTTGGTATCTCGTTCCTTCAAAACTTTCCATCTTTCTGAAGGATTGGCCTTCTTTGAGATACAAAACCCTTAGTTTCCACTTTTTGCCATCCTATTCCAAAGGAACCACAACTCTGTTTGGACCACATTGTAGATTGTGCTGTTAAGGGAAGGATGTTGTCTGCTATTCACAGTGAATGTTTAAACTCTACAGACCAACAAACAAGAGAACGCAGAGGTGGCTTTATGTTTAAAGTGCTGCGCAAACTGTTGGCGCTATATAAATCCTGTATAATAATAATGTTTGCTGAACTGTAAAGAGACATGTGACTCCTCTCTGCACCCCCTTCCTCCTCAAGTTGTCTTGTTGAATTTAGCCACACATATTTAGAGGGGACAAGGAGAGGGGATCAAAAGTTATCACAGTTTGTAAACATTGAGCCTTGGTGTTGTCCTCCTTTCCTCTTTTGACCTCGGCATTGGCCTACACGTATTATTATGGTCAAAACATGCTTTTAGGCTGTTATTGCTATCTGTGTTATTTTTGGGTACATTTCCTATTAGTTATTGGCATATTTCACAAGAGGAAAAAGTGAGGGTCAAACCCAGCTTTTGTTGCTGGAACAAGAGGTGAGAGGTATGCATTTTCATATGACAGCTGTCAGAAGGTTAGGGGTAAAAAGTTTCCTGGGACAGCTGCCAGGAGCTGAAGGGTACACCTTTCCTAATGACAGCTGCCAGGAGCTAAGGGGTACACCTTTCCTAATGACAGCTGCCAGGAGATGAGGGGTAGACCTTTCCTAATGACAGCTGCCAGGAGCTGAAGGGTACACCTTTCCTAATGACAGCTGCCAGGAGCTGAGAGGTACACCTTTTCCAATGACAGCTGTCGGGAGCTTAGGGGTACACCTTTCCTAATGACAGCTGCCAGGAGCTGAGGGGTACACCTTTCCTAATGACAGTTGTCAGGAGGTAAAAGGTACACCTTTCACAATGACAGTTGATTGGAGGATAGGGGTAAACCATTCCCAGTGACAGTTTTTAGGAGGAGAGGGGTAAACCTTTACCAATGACAGCTATCAGGATGTGAGAGGTACATCTTTCCAGTAGCAGCTGTCAGATGGCAAAGCGTACTCCTTTCCCTATGACAGCAATCTTTTAAAATATGGTATTGCAATCTTTATTGAAATAATGTTTTGCAATAAGCAGGTAGTTTAGGATTGTCCTGGATTGTGTAAATTGTGTTTATGCCACAGTTGTTCTACACAAAAATTATGCTGCAATAGATAGCTTTATGTATAAAAATGGAAAATAATCTTAGAATGCGAGTGCTCTCTTTGGTTCCTGAAATGAGCCAGGGGAAAGCAAGAGTGCAGAAGGGAGTGACATGAGTCCTGCCCCATTTGGCTACTAAAATGATAGATGAGGCAATGAGCTGGAGTAAATAACACTGGTATGGGATGAGGGTGGAGCGGTGAGGTGTTTAGCGGTACCCTCAGTTCAGATACATGTCTGGAGGCATCAAGGATGTTTCTAGCCCTAAGTACCTCTGGATTTGCCATTAGGCTGGGATTAGAGAAGCCCTCGAAGGCAGAAACATGTACTGTATATCCTCTGCTCAAATCTCTGATAGTGAGAAGGCGATATCACCCCGGAGAAGCTGCATCATTATATAGCTCTGACATATACCGCAGTGCTGTACAGAGTACACAGCCAATCACATCAGTTATGCTTGGAGTGGTAGAAGCAAAAAAAGTGTGGTGATACAGTACAGTGATATGTAAAATTATACAGCAATCAATGCAGAATGGCACCGGCTATAGAGGACTACAACAAATCTGATTAATACATTTTATACAGCATGGGGGCGGGGGGGGTTTGCAGGTAGTCTTTCCTGCACACTCTTCAAGCAGGTTTACTTTCTTCCGAGATCTTGGGACTGCCGGCAGCTTCTGTTCCCCCACACTGCAGTCTCCCTGCAACGACGTGATCATCTTGGCGGGCAGCGTCTTAGCAGGCAGCAGCGGGAGAGAGCTCAGAGCTGGGAGAGGCGGAGCGGTACGTGTGGAGCAACATGGGCAACCAATCGGAGGCCGACTAATCGATGATGGAAAACGTTGACAACATTTTCCATCATCAATTTTAATCGACTTAGTCGATTACTTGTTGCAGCCCCAGTCACATCAGTCTCTGTACAGAGGAGCTGACACTCTAATGTCCCCTCCCCCACAGTCCATCAGTCTCTGTACAGAGGAGCTGACACTCTAATGTCCCCTCCCCCACAGTCCATCAGTCTCTGTACAGAGGAGCTGACACTCTAATGTCCCCTCCCCCACAGTCCATCAGTCTCTGTACAGAGGAGCTGACACTCTAATGTCCCCTCCCCCACAGTCCATCAGTCTCTGTACAGAGGAGCTGACACTCTAATGTCCCCTCCCCCACAGTCCATCAGTCTCTGTACAGAGGAGCTGACACTCTAATGTCCCCTCCCCCACAGTCCATCAGTCTCTGTACAGAGGAGCTGACACTCTAATGTCCCCTCCCCCACAGTCCATCAGTCTCTGTACAGAGGAGCTGACACTCTAATGTCCCCTCCCCCACAGTCCATCAGTCTCTGTACAGAGGAGCTGACACTCTAATGTCCCCTCCCCCACAGTCCATCAGTCTCTGTACAGAGGAGCTGACACTCTAATGTCCCCTCCCCCACAGTCCATCAGTCTCTGTACAGAGGAGCTGACACTCTAATGTCCCCTCCCCCACAGTCCATCAGTCTCTGTACAGAGGAGCTGACACTCTAATGTCCCCTCCCCCACAGTCCATCAGTCTCTGTACAGAGGAGCTGACACTCTAATGTCCCCTCCCCCACAGTCCATCAGTCTCTGTACAGAGGAGCTTACACTCTAATGTGCCCTCCCCCCCCCCGTCACATCAGTCTCTGTACAGAGAGGAGCTTACACTCTAATGTCCCCCTCCCCTCCCCCCACTGGGGTGCAGAGGACGGGTATGATGGAATGAGGTGCAGGGATGGAGAGGATTGGTATGATGGTGGAATAGGGTGCAGAGGACGGGTATGATGGTGGAATAGGGTGCAGAGGATGGGTATGATGGTGGATTGTGTTGCACGGTGTCGGGTCCCAGGCTCCGGGGTGCTCGGGGCACTTACTGTCTGAACATTCCCTCCATGTCTTCTGCTGAACGGTTCAGCCTGGATGCCAGCTCGTCCCCAGCCATAGTGATCGCACCGGCCCGGGTAGATGTAAGGAGCGCCGGGATTGGAGGCTGAACCGCGGTGGGCGCGTGGTGCGTGCGGCTTAAGTGTGAAGCCGCGAACAGGCAAGGTAATAGATAGCCGAATAATTAACACACCTCCATTATGTTCAACTTATTTATTTTCTCAATTGCCTTCATGTAATGTAGACGTTAGAGGTATTCTTCATGCCAGGCTGAGTTATTTATTGTTAAAGATTGGATATATACCTTGGAAACCCCATAACACCCGAAGACTGAAGATGCAGAATCGCATAAAAGACATTAAAAAGCCTTGAAGGTGCACTCTAGGCATATATAAAATACACAAATGAATGCAGCACAATCAGCAATACAGTCAATAAGGTATTCTGTAATCCTTTTGCTGCCAGACCCATTTTTCATTTTTGGCACATCTGTGAACAGGAACCTTTTGGGCCTAAAGATTACCTAAAACCTCCGAAACATTCTTTTCAGGCCCTAGAATGGTGGCAGTTACAATTTTTTATGTCACATGATAAATGAACAAATCTATATTTTTTCAGGTAAAATACGGCAATTTAATTTACTGCACACAAACACGATATAATATCCAATTCTTTTGTAAAATATAAAAGATAAGGTTGAGTCAATTAAACAGATGTCAACCCCCAGAATAACATGCACCGTGTAATTGCGAAAAATTACTGTACTACACATAGTCCATAGGTGATGCATTAAAAGCTTTTACAGCTTTGTGGCCCTAGAATTATTGCTCTCACTCTGGCCTCCACAACAATACCAAATATGCATAGCACAGTTTTCATTATCGAATGTGTGTATACCTGACTGACACATGAGCTTGCTTTCTTTGATGCGTACAGATTGTGCTTGATCAGCTTCTTCTCCAGCCTGATAAGCCAGAGAGTGACAGCTCTGGTTCCAGAAGTGCTCAGAGCTGAGCTCTTCTAGGTTAATTTTTCACTTTTCCATCCTGACACCCACCATGGAGGTCCCTGGTGCCCCAGAGGGACACATTACTGGTGGTGGTGGTGATTTCCAACCAAATCACTTCTTCTACATAGCCGGCAGCCAGGAGAAAAACATAATCAAATGCCCAGCTATAGCGACTGGGAGTTTGTGTACATAACAGTGCTCTTGCAGTCCCTCTACAGGAGGGACACAACTGAAAATCAGAGGAACTATTCCGCGTTTGATTGTTGTCACTGGCACATGCATCCCCATTGGAGGTGAAAAGGAAAAACAACCTTTGCTCACAATTAATGTTTATTTATATATAAAAAAAAATTTAAATTAGGAAAGGGATTGGCATGGCCTGTGTGGAGCCACGTGGAAGCAGGTAGATTGGGACACTGATGCTGATTTAAGGAGTGATGGTGACCCTCCATCGGGTTGGCAGCACTAAGGTTTGATGCCGCGTTCCTGTGATCCCTAAATCACTTCCTCCTTTTCTCTGAATAGTGCTTACTGCTGGCACTAGGAGCAGGCTGACATAGGACTATTGTGTCCTCTTCCAGGGGCTCCAGACACCATCTTGGGAGATCCTGTGTCTAGTCTTCTCTCTGCAGATTTTGATGACGATCATAGCATGATCTGCATCACCAGGGTGCCCTTATAGTGGGGAAGTTCATATAGGGAAAGGACCCCATTTGTGAAGGAGAGATAGGAGACTGTTGCTGCCTCACCCCTCCGTCAGAGGGATGGAGGATTTTGATACCAGGTCGCTCTGTACTTAGAGCAAAGTGAGGTTCACAGAGAGAGAATAGGCTTCCTGTTGCAGGATTCCCTGGTGTCCGGAAACCTTTAAGGGGACCTGTTAGTGTTTCTTAACCTTTTTAGCAGAGGCAGGAAGCATATCCTATGAAAAGGAAGAATCTGTTTGTAACAGAACTCTATGGTAGTGGATAACATTAATGTAAACAAAACCACAGAAGGTGTATAAAAGAACAGTTCCCTACAGTAGCAGAATAAAGAAAAGACAGTGCTTGAACCAAATGTGAGCTTAAGGGAGGCAACCTCTGACCAAAATCCTATTGCTATGTATGCACTGAAGATTTCTGTACTGTACCTGTTGGACTTATACTGTTCATGCTACCTTACTGCCCTACTGCCTGTGTGTTCTTTGTCAGTCACTTCTGCCTTTTTTTACAGGTTGCCCCTAACAGGAGCTTTTTAAGACAGTAGTCACATAACACCTCCTACACATTGTTCATGTTAATTCATTAAACGTGTGCACAGCAAAACCTCCCAAGAACATTCTAATAACACATTCCAAGGAATGTTTTTTAACATCTCAAAGTAAAAGACTTTCTAACAAGAAAACCAATTATATAAATGTAGCCCCCATCACCTTTTCTGAGGTGGCTACTAGACATTTAGTGATTGCCAGTGCTGTAGTCAGTCTGGCTGGATTATAGTTGGCATTTATCTGGTTAATTCCAGGTGCCTGGAAATTACTTTATCCCCCTGGGTGTAGTGTGACTCTGCTATATTGTGGGACAGCCAATGAGTGTATGTACAGTACAGCAGCCAATCACTGGGTTTCTCTCAACCAGTGGTGCATGCTCGGATAGGGTACATATACTGGAAGGAATTGCCATGTGCTAGACTAGTTGGGACCAGCCATGGATTAGCACTGGACTGGACTGGATGCTGTCCAGCCACCCCCCAGGCTAGGCCTGAGGCCTGGGGGTGGGCAGAGGCTAGAGTGTGGGAAGAGTTTCCCTGGAACTCAATTATGGAGGAGGCCTATGCTTTTGCCAGAGGAAGAGAACCAGGAAAATGGATGGCTCTTGAAGTTACCTGGAATTGGAGGACTTTAGGGGCAAGGCTGGTGTCTTTCCTGCTGAGTATTTATTAGACATGTGCACTGCCAAAAAATTTGTTTAGTTTCGTTTCGTTTTAAATTCGCATTTGTGTTATTTCGTTTTTCGGGATTCGGGTGTGAAAGTCAATTCGGATTCGGAATTCGGATTCGGACGAAAATTTGGTAGCGTTAGGTCGAACGTTCGTTTCATTTTCTGTTCTTATTCGTTTCTTATTAGTTTCATATTCGTTTCTTATTCGTTTCGTTCGTTCGTGACATTCGAGGGGGAAAAAATATTTTTCTCCTCTAATGTCACTTTGCTCCAACGAACGAAACGAATAAGAAACGAATAAGAAACGAACGTTCGAACTACCGCTACCGAATTTCGGAAATGGAAATTCGGATTCGTTTGCATTTGTTATGTCTGTAATTCGGAATTCGGATATAGTTCTGGTGAGTCTGGAGTCTATGTCTGCTACACCCTGGAAGTCAAGGATCCCCATACCCTCTCTCCCCAGTATGAACATGTTAATAAATGTTATTCAGCATTGCAATACTGGAGTGGACATCAGCTTTGTGGGCTTTAGAAGAGGGCGGTTAATGCTAATGGGGCAGCTGAAGACCAAATCCCCTAGACAGATTAGTGATGACCCGGGTTATTCCAGCGACTCCTTCGGGGGTGAGCGCCTCATAAAGAATCCGAATGCTATCATTATCATACAAGCTGATTTAACCATTAGTAAAACATGTATAAATTACATTTCTTTATCAGGGGATTTCCCCTTATCTCCTGTTTTGGTGTCAACTGTAACATTTTTTATTTCCCATCATTTCCTCTAATGAAGGTGAGTCTTCCGAAAGGAACACAGATAGCAACAAAAACCTTACCTACTACATCCAAAAGTAACAAAAATTGTTGTTTTTTTGGAAGTTGGAGCTTGTCCCTTAAAATTCTTGTGACCAGCTGTCCAATCTCTAATTGGCTGTCTACTGAGTGATTTCTGCCTTCTCTGTCCGTAGAAAAATACTTCTCCTCTGGGAAAGTGGCCCTTTATGTTATGGCTCTTCGCTCTTCGTGTGTCGATCCCAGCAACATCTCTGTTCCGGGAGGAAGCGCTGACCTTGTCCAAGTTCTGGAGACCAAAACTCATAGAGAGCTTCAAGCTTTTGGTAAGTTTTAATGAAGGGTTCCAGTCAAAAGGAAAGCTAACAGGGTTATTCGCTAAAGGGTGAAGAGTTTGGAGAAGGCAGGAGAAGTGAACAATCTAGGATAACATAGCTGAAGTGGAAAGTGAGCTGAATTGGAGAATTTGTCCAAATCATCTGTTTTGGTCTAGATTGTTCACTGCCTTCTCCAAATGTTGTTCAAAAAAGAATATATATAGCAGTTTTGTATATAATGTTTTTTTGCATTTTCATGGTCAAGATTAAATAATAGAATACTTATCATAGTTTGTCAGGTAAATAGGACATACTACGTTTGAACATTATTAGTCTTCTGTTAAGCCAGTAGGTGGAGCTTTAGGGGCCTTTTCATGTTTTCTTCTGTCTACTTACTACCTGATGTTAAAAGCTAATTGTTTACAGGATTCAGTGGCTCAATGTGATCCCTTATTGTGTGATATTTCCCTCAGACATAGCAAGCCTGAAAGCAGGGAGCATCTGCTGTGCTGTCCGTTTAGCTATCCAATAGTGCTCTGCATGTGCTTTGTCATGTATTTAATCATTATTTGCTTACATATAGGAAATGTAAAACACACTGGGGGGATTTATAAAATCTGGAGCAGTTTCCCATGGCAACCAATCAGCTTCTCTCTTCAGATTGTTCAGTTAAGCTTTGAAAATGAAAGATGGAAGCTGATTGTTCATAGCTGCTTTACATTCTGTCTGCTCCAGTTATGATAAATTCCACTTACTTTATAGTAAAATGCAAAAGCATAAAACATTATTTTGAAAAGATATACAATTGATAAAATCATTGTAATTTCCATGTAAAGAACAAGCCACACTTTGTTGGTGGACTGTCTTGCCTATGATGAGCGCTGGAGATTAGGGAAAACTGGGTGGGTACTAGAGTCTGCTTCATCCCACCCACATTTGCAAAATTCATAGTTTTTCGTCACGTACAGTGTATGTGGCCAGTCATATAGGCACAAAGTGACACACTGTACAGTACACTGTACGTCTCCCGTCACGAAGGGGTTAAAAAGGTGTTCTAGTACCTCTTCTTCTTCCACTGCTGAGAAAAACATAAGTTTATTTAGGAGGTTCCCATGTTTTGACCCTTCTATAAAGATTTGATATGAAGCCATTTAGATTTCAAGCTACATGATTTTTTACTTTAGGAAAAGGCAGGAGTGATTATGATTGTTATATAGTGTACAATTGTTTACTGAACCATCTTCTTTTTACAGAAAAAAAACAGTCATCACCATCCGTACTAACCACCTGGTACCAAGTCGGTCTTGACGTTCTCGGTCTCTGCATCATGTCCAAACCTTATGCTATTTCAGCAGCACACATTCTGGCCAAAAACATTTCGCCAAGCAATTGTGGTTCAGTAGGTGAGCATACAAACTGGATTTAAGGATGGAAATCTGCAATATAAAACACAATTGTGGTTGTAGCTTAATATAAAAAAAATATAGCTCCAAATTTGGGTCAAAATTTAGGTAGCAAGAAAACTGATAAAGGTTACATGTCCTAATCCCCCCAACCCCCACTAAATAATATGCAAATAACATCAATGTCTTCTGAAAAAATTTCATCATGTATGCCTGTAAAAGTCCCTTACTAGTCAGCAAGCTCATTCTGAGATTGTGATCTCTGACTCACAAGTTCAGTTCCAACTACTAAGCTGCATCCAGTCCAACATGGTGGACTCACAGCACAAAGCAAGCCATTCACCAGCAAAAGGTTATGTCATCTGATGCTATTGCAGGAAGCTGTTGTTTCCAGCCACCGTGGGAGTTAACCCCCTTTCCCTGCAATGGTATGGTGATTGGAAGAGCAGCTGCAGTGCACACAGGGGAAGTTCTAATTGTCACTTTGAGACGATGACTGTTACAAGTAGGGAACGCGTTATATAATAGGAGTCTCAAATCTAAAATCTTGTTTTTTAGAGGCTTAATCAAGAATGCAGCCTTTTCAGAGCTCATGAGCCTGTCACGGTGTTCTCAAAAGCACAGCTATGCATGAGTGGGAGGTTACCACATGGTCAGGTGTAGATCAAATACTATCAGTTATTGTTGGACTTTACCACTAGTCTACAATGAGCTTGTAATTCACATAAAAATGGAAGATAGCTTTTTCAGATGGAGCAAAAAGTTTGATGGCAGTAGATAAACTCTATAACAGGCATGGTAATGGGGGATCAAATGATCCAGTCTATGGCAAACACATGCCACAACAAGCTTTTTTTACAAGTTGACCCAGTTTCCTGAGATGTAACTATCAGATTTGAACTTTTTGTAAAGCATTACCTTTAATGGAGACATGAATGCTTTAAAGCAGTGGTTCTCAACCTGTGTAGCCTCAGGACCCACATTTGTCCTTGGTCATTACGTTGCGACTCAAGGCGCATCACTCTGGAATGCACAGCATTGCGGTACTGCCCCATTTGGTGTGGGTGATCAAACTGTGGGCAAGAGGTGTGCTTTTGGGGTGCCATTCAAATGAATGGCAACGAAACGCACCTCCCATACAGACATAATCTCACACACTCACAGACATTCTCACACACATACACACTCCAAAAAAATATTTTCTTTTTTTTAAGATCCACCCTAGATCCAAGAATAGATCCAACATAAGTCTTCCTAGCTTATGAGAACTGGAGTAGATCCTCAGCCTTGGGTCCAGTGTGGGCTGCTGTGCTGCGACGGAGCTCCATCCATATGTGCATCACTTGTACAGCTCCCTTGTGGGCCCTGTAGAGGTGCCGGGAGCCAGAATGTAATGTCACTCCGGTTCAGGCACCTCTACAGGGCACATGAGGGAGCTGTAAGCAATGCATGTATGGATGGAGCTCCCATGCAGCCATACCCCCAGCCCACCACACCTCAAGCTGACATTCGGCGCAGGGCAGCATATTTTGAATGGCTGGTCGGCGTCAGAACTATCAGTGCTGAGCTAGAGGGAGGCTGAGGAGCCTCTCAGCTAGTGCAGTGGAAGGCATACAGTGACCAACTGAACACAGGGTTGCGACATACATTTGGGTCGCGACACACCAGTTGAGAACCAAGGCTTTAAAGTATATGTTGTAACAAGGACACTACACTGTAGTCCAGGTAAGTCAAGTAAAATGCAGTATATTAAAGGGCAAACACAAAATAGCTTGCAGCAGCAACATAAGACAGTCCTTTATATGGCTCTGTAGCTTTCCTCAGCTTCAAGACACTCACACTGCTCACCCCTCGAGAGCCCTCACTCTGCTCTCTTAGCAGTCTGTACCGCAGGTCCTAGGGTCACCGACCTTCCTGACCTCTCCCCTCGTGGGCACTCACTCTGCTCTCCCAGCAGTTTGTCCGACAGGTCCCTGGGGTCACCGACCTTCCTGACCGCTCCCAGCCACCCCTGGCTGTTCCGTGTGCGTCCAGCATGCACCCGAGGTGGTCTGTGTCCGTGTGCTCCCTGCGCACACACAACTCCAACACTCCTCTCTGAGCACTGAGCTGGCTTCCTGATAAGGCTGCTCTCAGCCACCTGATTAGCCCAGGCTGGTCATTGGCAACACCTGGCCCCAGGACTGGAGATCTCATCCCACCCAGAGCTCTACGAAATCTCCAGAGCTCCAGATCCCAGCTACAAATAGGAAAACCTGGACGGACCTGAAAAGCCAGGCTCTTCCTTAAAACATTGCTTACATTCTGGACCCTCTCAGCCCCTCTGGCTGAGAGTCCTGGGTGCCAAAGTCGCCATCCTACACCGTGGCATTGGCTTACACTGCCACAATGTTAACTCAATACTTAAAGGAACTTTACCCATAACTTTCAAATAACATTCAAACACACCATTTAGCAATGACAATCAACAAACACATACTTCTAGATAATTGCAGGCTTTGTATTCTTTGCATACCGTATTTCTCTTTTCTTCCCCAGTCTTCTGACAGTGGCCATGTTAACTAAGGGCAGATTACTAGCTCTCCCTTTACTTCCTGGAACTCTGGCACATGTGACTAAGACATGTGACCATGCACATCATCTCAGGGGAGAAAAATGCCTTTCCCTGAGATCTCATCAGATTACAGATTAGATTTCCCAGCAGTTCTCTGCCAATGTAACCTTTACAAGATGCAATGCTTTGGTACTTACATCATTTGTGCCAGAGGTGGACCAGGAAGTAGATGAACTCTATGTGTAAGTAAATGAAAAACAAGTTTGTTTAACTAATAAATGTAAGATGCTTTTAAACCAGGATGCAGAGCTGCATGCTGATGTGATTTTTTGTAAAAGGGAGTAAAGGTCCACTTTAGGAATATTCTGGGTGTATTTCAGGCTTATTATTTATAAACTAGACATGTAAGTTTTGTTCCGAATGCAGATATGGCCGAAAGTCTGTGAATTTGGACAATCAGATGCACCTGAATGCAGGGGCGGATCCAGAGTCTACTCTCGGGAGGGGCACCGCCAAAAAATAAGCCCCCCGCCCCATCTGGCTCTTCCACTGCTACTGTGCCACCCCTTTCCTCTCTCACCACCTATGTGTCCACTGCCCCCCCAGCTCTCCCCCCGGTGTACAACGCACTCCCCTGGCTTCTCCTTCTGGGATCTTGCCGCCGCTGTCACCTTGGGCGGTCTGTACTCACACAAATTAGGCAGCTGCAAAGCCCCGGCATGGGCTGAGACGGCCGCCTAATTTGTTTAACTACAGTGCTGCCTCTGCTTTGGGTCCTGATTGCTTGGTGCGGCCGGCCGGATAGCTGTAAAGCTGTCACAGAGTTTACTGCGGTTCAGTGTAAAAAAAAACGGCATAGTGCTTGGAGTGTGCCGTTTTTTTACACTGAATCACAGTAAACTCTGTGACAGCTGTATGTCCCGGCCGCTGTGCTGGGATGCTGGTGTTACTACTACTGCGGTTGGGAGAGGCAGGGAGCGGCTCTCTATCTCGGGGGGGCAATTGCCCCGTTGCCCCCCCTGGATCCGCCACTGCCTGAATGTCCAAATTTCATTGAGGCCAAATGCAAAAGAACCTGAATGTTCTTTTAATGAACTTTCAGATCTTCAAATTAAGCTAAATCGGACATGTGACTGGTTTCTGACGAATCAGAAAACCCTGTCAAAAACTAAAACAAAATTCTGAAAGTTCTGAATCTGAATAACGAAACAGCGCTCAGACCTGAAACCCGAAAGAACGAAAAATCTGAAATGATACAAATTTTTTGTCGGCTTGCATGTTTGTTATAAACTATGCTAATTCTATTCTGAAGGGAAAAAAAACATTTAGATACCTTGCTTTAAGTAACTTTTTTCAGCAGTCTTGTAACTGCTTTAACCCTTTCTTCAACTGTGCTCTCTAGGACTGTGGGTAGAAAAAAGCTTCAGGGTCCAGTCACTGTCAGCCTCATATACTGCTATTAGAAAAACACTCCTGGAGGCATGGCTAACTGACTGTGATCATACAAGCTGACTAGGGGGCCTTGCCGGCATGCTAAGTGCAGCACAGAAGGGTGACAACACTACAGCAGCATTAGAATGCTGAAGTTAGCGTTGTCACTCTTGTTTTATTAACTGAGAAGTCGGCAAGATGTGAACATTAATTTATCTGAGGTTGAGTTTTCTTTATCAACATAACCAAAGCTCTTGCTTTACAGACACAGCGGCTGTAGTGACGATGGGGTTGGTGTGTGTGCTTGGCATGGAAAATGTCCCTGAAAAGACGCTCAAATCAGTGAATAAAACTCTTTCTGATCTCCTGGTGTATATAGTGAGCCAACAGAATGATGGACTCATCGGCAATGCTTACAGCACAGGCCTAGCTGGACAGGTATGCACGTACACTTATAGTATGTGGGATGAGGTGTGATAAAGTGTATCTAAACCCAGGTATAAAAATGTTATGTATTGCAGATTATCAGTCCTTAGATGTGGTGGCTGCATTATTTTTTTTACCTGGTGATCTTGGCAGCCTTGTTGTCAGCCAAGGACAAGGCTACACAACACCTTTCCATATATACAGGTCTTGCAGCGGAGATAAGTCAAAGCATCATCATTTTATTGTCAAAGTTTATCAAGTTCCGATCTACTGAGCCGACCTGTGGCAGTCTAATTGTCACAGGTCGGCTAGAACTATGAGGTGAGTGAAAAGCACTCACCTCATAGTTCTCCTTTAATAAAGATGGACTGAGCTCCAATGAAACATTGACAATTAAATGGTGAAGCTTTTGACTTATCTCCTCTAATATATATATAGAGTGTGTCTATATCAACTTTGGATTTGTATTCATATTTTTATGGATGAACACCAAGGATTTACCTGACAAAAAGAGTGCGGTGGCTATCACTGGGACTATATACAGTATGTGTTTGATAGGTAAAAAAAGAATTCATTTTGCCAGCTATTCAGAGCTCTCCTGTGTCCTGCTCACATTTTCTATGTTATCTCAGCGAGTCCTCTCAGAACAATTACTCTCTCTGTGAGAAGATCAGGAGGATGGGAGAGATGGGAGAGATTCCGCAGTTTAACAATATACAAATGGACAGGGCTGACAATGTTTCTTGCTATGAGCAAAATTGTGGATTACAAATAATAAATGTAGTACTTAAAATGAAAACAGAACCAACACTTTAAATGAAAACACCCCCACTGATGACATAAAGTGCATATACCAAAATCTCTATATATTGCAAATAGATGTAATTTTACACGATTAATAACGAGTGCTGCATAAATCAAAAGGCCATTATATGTAGGGACGAGCTTTGGGCTTGGGTCAACCGTAAGCAGTGGTGTATTTTGGTTTTGTGCTGCCCTAGGCAAGACTAAACCCGAGCACCCCCCCCCCCCCACCACACAACAAAATTAAACTTACGTAGTTCTGCAGCTGCAACACCGATCTTCTGCCTTAATTGGCTGGGCTGTCTAATTCTGCAGTTACCCATCTTCTGCCTTGGCCGCTGGGCTCTGTAGCTTGCCCCGCTCCAGAGACAAAACCCTGCACGGAGCTTATAGGCTGCACTTCCCCAGACTCGCCACCACGGAGGTGTCGATGAGGATGATGACCATCTGCATCTCAGCCCTGGGGTCCTGCGGAAGCTCCTCCGCTGCCTGAAGTCAGAGATTTGGGTGCTGGCTTCCCAGGGAGGTCCGAACTGCCAGTGCATCCGAACGAAAGTCACTCACGCTAATACATTGCACAGCATGTTGACATAAAAGAGGAAGGAGCTGCCGTTGGTCACCCAGTCAAAGCACCAGTTCCAGGGGTACTGGCAGTAATTTATGAATAATTTATAATATCATTTATTTTTTTTCTCTTATCTAACTGGTTTAGGGGCAGCATTTTTTGGCGCCCCCCTGGAAAGTGCCGCCCTAGGCAAATGCCTATTTTGCCTTGCAGTAGATACACCCCGGACTGTAAGTTGTCTGCAGTTCGTCAGATGGCTGAACGATATTGGACAGTGATTTAAACAATACTTGTTATTGCAGTGGAACTGGACCCTCCTATCCTTTACAATCAAGGAAGGTGCCATCTTAGCCTCTAGCAGTATAATAGAAAGTAAAGGGACTGCCTGACTATGATGCAATATAAAAATCCTTTAAAGAACTCCGGGCAAAAATGATCTTAAACTATTGCATTATATTATGTTGTTTTGTATTTATTGTGCATTAAACAAGAACTCCAGGCAAAAATGTTCTTAACCCTTGCCGGGGGTGGGGCTACCCACACTGCAAAGTTTATGTGCTCATTTTTGTCTTGTGTGAAAATAAAGTTATACTCACCTGACTCTTGCTGCCGGCTGGCTGCTAGACCGGTTCCTACACCCATGCAAAAATGAGCACTTAACCTTTGCAGTCCAAGGGTAGCCCCATTGCAAGGGTTAAGACCATTTTTTTTGAGTGGTTCTTTAATGCACAACAAATACAAAAAGACACAATATAATTCCCATGTACAAAGTATCATTCCTAAAGTAAATATGATTCCTAAAGTGAAAAACTGACACAATGACAGTGTTGCCATACCGCTGCACACTTCTCCACCAAATACTCCTCAATTGCCACTTTACCTAGTGAGCTGGGCATGAGCACGATAGGAACATATTACCACTGTATAAATCAGATCAATACTTCATGAGCAAAAAGCAACGTGTGCAGTTTAAAAGTGGTAAAGCTGATGTAGAGACTAATGCCCACGTTCCAAGAACTGTAGCATTGTTTCAAGCCATAAATACATTCAGTGATTGTTTGCAAAGTCTTATTTTATCAAGTGACAGCTTGACTTATAGTCCAGGTGTGAGCATACGTGGATACGGGTGAACGTGCCCTCCTCTCTCTGCCAGCTTCCCTCACCAAGGCCGCCGGCCGGTTGGGGTACGGGTACTCCTAGAATGAGATCCTAATAGGTTGGACTTGATGGACTAATGTCTTTATTCAACCTCAAATACTATGTCACGTTTGCGTGACGTCACACGCATGCATGATGACGTCATGGCGGAGTGTCACCCGGTACCCGCTCTGGTTGACACCCGGCCTCAGGACGCCCCTGACATATTTTCAGAGAACTGTTGCGACTTTTCAATACTCTTTTTTTGGTTTAATATATTTTTATTGTTATTTTCATTTTATGTCATCTCAATTATACCAATTTCATAAAACTTGTAAACATCTGTTTGTTATTTCATAGCATAAATAAAACACATTCTACTTTACAAGTGTCTAAAACATTCCTTTCAATAGCAAACATTACCCATTCCGACTCATTATCCTTCCTCATTCATTCTCATCTTTCCCCTCTCTTCTCTTTTCACACCTTACAACCCTGACTCATAACTAACTCATGACCTTATCTAGGAGGGGGGGGGATCTTCTTTATATGTGTTTGTGATTTTCATCTTCCATTTTTGTTCCAAAATTACTCTCCATCATACCCATATGTGTATCTACACACTATTTCTTGTGTTATCATTGTCCTTGTGTTCCCTACCCTATTTGTGTATTTAATCGTTGTGTACTATTCCGTGCTATAGATCTATAATTCCTAATATCGAAGTGTTATTGTGGATCCCATTCTACCCTTTCCCCTCCCTCTATTAGTGATGTGTTACTTTATTCTTTACTTATCTTAACCTCTTGCCGTCCGCCCGTAGTAAAAAAACGGACGGACGGCACTGCAGCATCTGCGGGTTGCCGTCTCCAGACGGCAATTTTTTTCTGCTCGCGCGCGCCCCCTAGCGGGCACGCACGGGCAGAAAAGACCCGTCCAATGCGAACACCCGGCACCGGGTGTTTCACATATAGGCGATCAGCGGGTCCATAGCCCGCTGATCGCCTATATGTGCTCGTTCGCGGCTGTGAATGCAGAAGTGATGTGTATTACATCACTTCCGCATTCACCTGTCAGTCATCTGGAGAGAGAAGAAGCTGATAAAGCAGATCTCTGCTTTATCAGCTTCTTTTGGGGTCCATAGGTGATATTAGGGGTCCTAGAGACCCCTAATATCTCCATAAAGAGGACCTGTCAGTGTGCCTTTGCTATTATATAGGGGGTTGTTATCCCCCTATATAATAGCAATAACAATAAGTGCAAAAAAAATATATATAAATAAAAAAAAAGAAAAGTAACACATAAAAAAATAAAATAAAATAAAAGCCACATATAAAAAAAGGGGAAAAAACCCCCCCAAAATGTTTAACTCCCCCACCCCCACGTTTACGCGCCTATAAACGTAAATACGCGTCCGGTGCCCCAGCGCGCAAAAATTACAATTGCGCTACACATGTTACATATCGCCGCGAACGTCGCAGTGAGAGCAATCATTTTAGGGCCATCAATCACTGATAACACTAAACTGATGAGCGGTAACAGCTTTTAAAGCGTCGCCTATGGCCAATTTTGGGTATTATCGTTTTTTGAGGTTTCGCGCGCGCACGCAATTTTAAGGCTTGACATGTTTAGTGTCTTTTTACCCGACGTGACCCCATCTTTTATATTTTACCAAAAAATTGGGTAATAATAAATGTTTTATCATTTAATATAGGGGAAACTTTTTTTTTTTTTAAATTTCGGTAATTTTTCCTTAATATATTCCCACACCCTATCATAATTTATCTTCCTGTCGGCATCTCTTGCACATACTGTAGTTCCTCCATGTATCTTATTTCTTCCATTATGTTCCCCCAACTCTCTATTGTAGGTGGTGATGTAGACATCCACTTATGTGATATACCTACTCTGGCGGCCGACAATACAAATCTTAAAATATCCTTTTTTACCTTTATTATAGGACCAGGGTACAATGATAGTAGTGCCATTAAGGGATCCTTTTCAATACTTGAAACCTCCACTGTACGGTATATTTCAAATATCGATTCCCAAAACGGCTGTATTTTCAGGCAGCTCCACCAGATATGTATGTATGTATGTCCCCTCCTCAACATTACACCTCCAGCATCTATCTGATTTTTCTGGGTTTATTTGTTTAATTCCTTCTGGACACCTATACCATCTAGACACAATTTTATAGTTGTTTTCTTGAAGGAATGTGGAGGTAACAGAGCCATGGGCCATGGTAAATATTATTTCCCATTCTTTCTCTGAAATTTCTTTTCCCAAGTCTTGTTCCCACTTTTTCATATACTTTGTATATCCTTTAGCGTCTTCCTCCCGCAGCAGGCCATATACCGCAGATAACATATGCGAGATAGGGGTTTTACTCACGCACATCTTCTCAAATGGCGTGAGTGGCCTATTTAAGGTTTTATAGGTCCTAAGGCTCCTTATAAAATCTGATAACTGCATTGCTTCTAACCAAAGTTTCCCATCAATTTGT